ATTCAGAGCAGTTATTAAAATGTTTGGATACTAAAGGTTCCTTTAGCACATGGGACTTCAGTAAAGAAAATAATATTGACCATCAAAAAATTATTGGTGTTGTTAAAAGCATATTGGCTTTGGGGAATATAATTACTGCTGATCCAGTGACAAGCAAATATTGGGAACTTACTGATGAAGGAGAATCGGTTTTATTGAATGGTAGTTATGAAGTAAACCTGTATAACGCTATTCCGTCTGATGGAATACCTCAGAAGGAGAAGGAATTAATGTCGATACCAAATGCAAAAATTGGATTCAGCCAAGCAATGTCGAAGGGTTGGATAGTCATTGATCGATCATTGAATAAAGTGATGAAAAAAGTTGATTCAGTCGTCGATAAGGTTAAAAATGATTTGATTGAACTAAAAGCATCTCGTGATCAAATTTCTGAGTCTGACAAGTTGGATTATAAAAAACGAAAACTTATTCGTGAAGTTGTTATAAAGAGTTTCATAATAGGTAATTGAATTATTTTGAATTTATTACTCTTTACAATATTTATTAATTATATTACTTTTTGCAGGGAAGGGTCCAGAATTTACAACTTCTATTGTAAAACTAGAAACTGAATTAACTACAGAAATGATATTATCTGGTTCATGGAAATCAACTCCATTCAAGTCTTACAATTTTGAAGCTTTAGGCCAACCTCAATCAGCTGGTTGCTTACATCCTTTATTGAAAGTTCGCTCAGACTTTCGTCAAATATTTCTTGAAATGGGTTTTACTGAAATGCCAACCAATAATTTTGTTGAAAGTTCGTTTTGGAATTTTGATGCATTATTTCAACCTCAACAACATCCAGCTAGAGACTCGCATGATACTTTTTTTTTGGATGATCCTCAAACTAGTGAAAACTTTCCTCAAGAATATTTAAACAAAGTAAAAACAGTACATTCAAAAGGAGGCTATGGTTCCCAAGGATATGGTTATGATTGGTCTTTAGATGAAGCTAAGAAAAATGTCTTGAGAACTCATACAACTGCAGTAAGTGCTCGTATGTTGTATGGCTTAGCTAAAGATTTCAAACCAACTAAGTACTTTAGTATTGATAGAGTATTCCGAAATGAGACTTTAGATGCTACTCATTTGGCAGAGTTTCAACAAGTAGAAGGAGTAATAGCTGATTACAATTTAACATTGGGAGATCTAATTGGAGTTCTTCACACATTTTTCGAACGATTAGGAATGACTGAAATCAAATTTAAACCTGCTTATAATCCATACACAGAACCTAGTATGGAAATATTTTGTTATCATCAAGGACTAAAAAAATGGATTGAAATTGGTAACTCAGGAATGTTTCGTCCTGAAATGCTATTACCAATGGGCTTACCAGAAAAAGTAAATGTTATAGCTTGGGGATTATCGTTAGAGAGACCAACTATGATTAAATATGGCATAAACAATATTAGAGATCTAGTTGGACCTAGGGTTAATTTACAAATGGTTCAAGATAACCCTATTTGTAGATTAGATAAATAAATTATATTGTAAACTTTTATGATGCTATAATATATATGATGTATTTAATTGATACAATACTTTTTATTTTACTATGTAATAAATAATACTTAAAAGTCTACATCATCTCCAAAAAATGCTTTCCAACACTCTGTCAATGTCTTTTCAGCAGCATCTTTTCTTTCTTCATCGGGCATTGCAGAAATTTGTTCTTTCAACTTTCTAACTTTGTCAATAGTCTTGAAAAAATTAAAATCTCCTTCAAACATCTCAGCTAAAATAAGGTGAAAATTTATAGTAAATCAACAACTTTTTTACTATAAATATAATTACTAAATAAATCACTATCCAATTCAGCTTCTTGCTCTGTATCCATTTTTAAATCTGATAATCCTCCACTTAATTGTGAATTAATTACACTATCTTCAATTATTGATTTTGCACTAGGATTTGTTATTTGACCTTAATATAACATATTTATGTAAGTAATAATTAATTTAATTAAGTTAATTTTAAATTACATACATTTGGCTTTAAGATTTGGCCAATGATGTGCATAAAGAGCTTGTTTAACACGTTCAATTCCAGTTGTATCCATTTCATCAGCAATTTCTTCAAGCACAATTAATTCAAAATGGTTTTTTCGACACCATTCAAAAACTTTAATAATTACAAGAAATCATTAAGATAAATATAACAATTCTTTTTTTGTTTTAATAAAATTAATTATTACTGTCAGTACCATTGTTGGACAAATGACTATCTATATTTTTTTCACTCAATAGTATCAAAACTTCCGCTTGACTTTTCTCAACTAAAGGTAAGCATGTATTCATAGTTTCCATAATATTGCTCTAGAACAATCAAAATATAATTTATTATAAAAAATACAAATTATTATAATATATTTACCTTATTAATGTTGAAAAGAATAATTATAGCATTAATGTTGTGTACAAATTGATCAGATAGTTTATCTAAACTAATGGAGGTACATAAATTTATGTCAGCAGTGTAATATTTGCAGTCAATTGTCCAACGATTTGATAAAACATTTTCTTCATTATTACAAATTTCAATATTTTCTTCATTCCTCAATACTGTAAAAATCATGACACTTATGATTACATAAAATGAATAATTTACTAATTAGTTACTAATAAACACGTAGAACAAAATAACTTTTACTACCAAGTATGGTTCATATAATTTCAATACTATATTATAAAAATGAATTGTCTTTTATTCTTTAATCTCTAATACTTCATTTTACATAGTCAATTTACAATTTTTTTGTTTTAAACGTTATTTAGCTAAAAAAAAAAAACCTTACTATATAGTGTACATACTTTTATTTTTAAATAAAATAAATAATCTATACAATTAAACACGTATTATGTAAGGGATAAAAGCATAATTGATGACACGTAATCAAAGAACTCTCATTTCAAAATACTTAGCTTAGGATTTGCATTAAAGAATTACATTAGATTTTTACATTATTTTTTATTTTATTTTAAGTCTATGATGAAGATTTCTTGGGAGTGATGGGACATGTACAGTTTTAATTAGTGAATTTTCATAATTTTTTAATAAAGTAAAAAAATATTTAAATACTTTTTTAGCTTATGCAATTAATTTTTTGTATCCAATAACTTTATTGAAGGTTAAGTTAGAAATATAATTGATAGAGAATTAGTGATTTTGCTAATTGTAATATTTTGGAATGCTTGAATTTTGTTTAAATTGGATGTTTTAACTTTTAGCTGAACCTCGCATTTAAGTTTAAAATGGACTTCTGAAGTGATATAAATTTTACTAATAATTTAGAAATTTACTACATTTACTAAAATATAATTTTAACAAATACATAAATTGGCTATACTGTTTAACTACAAAAATACCAATCAATAAGATGGTAGGATCTGCTGGTTGAAAATTTTAACTTGTAGTTCTAATTGAATATTTCACATATATAAGCAAAGTTCAGATTTTTCAGGAGCATTAAAATTTTAAATATGAGAAGCACCAAACCAACTTAACATATATTTTTATAAAATAATACCAAACAATTACTTATAAATATTATTGACCAGGTCATGTTTAATATATTAATTTAATAATAATGAGTACAAATTTAGGCTTACATTTAATTATTTTCAATGGATCATCATCACAACAACTATATATGTAAGCACAAGGGAGTTCACTTATTGACATGATTACAAAATACAAATTGTTAGTTATTTGAGTAGAAATTCAAAATTTATGTCTTTTATTTAATAATAAAGATTAGGTTTTTAATCGTAGAATAAAGTAATTTTAAATTTGAATACTGTAATTAATTAATTTAATACTATTAAACAATTTTCAGTTGCATTTGCATTTGCATCTGCCATTCTAGTGTATACAGTAAAGTTGAGTAGTTGATGTTATAATGATAACTTAATCATTATTAAATTATCTTATCTTGATAAAAATTGAAAATTATCAGCTGATGTGCAAATACAATAATAATAATAATAATAATAATAATTGATATTACCTTATACTTTATTCCTGTATACTGTATAAGAGTATTATAATTTGTGTCACTAAAATCACTGAACGGATCTTATGATCTAAAATAAAGTTTCTTTTACATGGTTTTGTCAACATATTTAACATTATTTATTTAATATTTACACATTAGTATTTACTCTAAGGTCTCTAAGTATATAACGGTATGTGTAAGGTGCATATGATTTGAAGTATTTTAAATTTGTATGGCACAACTAGTAATTCAGAATATTTTAGTACTATTTAATTTTTGTTTTAATATTAATTGAATTTATTGTTAATAATCTTAATTTATTTTGTAATTATATTTGGAATTAATTAAAATATTTAATTTTGTATTAAAATGAATCCTTGTACAATTCCTGAGATTCCTATTGATATACAAGGAGACAACAGATGGATGAGCCAGGTAAATAATTTAAAATTTTAATTATATTGTAATTTTCATACATTTATGTTTTTTGATACATTTATTAGCACGAACGTCATGTATCTGAAGCAAAAGAACGTGAACCTGATGTTATTATGATTGGAGACTCTATTATTCAGAAATTACAGTCAAGTCCTATATGGAATGATTTATTTGAACCTCTCCATTGTTTAAATTTTGGTATTGGTGGTGATCTTACTCAAGGAGTATTATGGAGAATTCAAAATGGAATTCTTGATAATATTAAACCTAAAGTAAGTTAGAAGAAATTTTTAAGTATTAATATATATATATATATATATATATATATTTATATGTGTATTATATTATTGTTACTATATGATATTATTTAATTAATTTGAGTTGGGATTGGCAAACAATATACTGAGAGAGGTCTATCATTCTCCACTGTTCATATTGCTGTTTACTTGAATATATTCTTCAAAATAATCAGCATCCTATCTTAATGTTATTGCTGCTAATAATATCATTAATTATTGTTTATAAATATGTTACCTTATAACTCATTTTACATGAGGAATTTTTCCATTGTAAATAATTTAACGGTTTGGATACTACTTAATAGGTGATAAGTAATTATTAATGTTTAATAGTTAGTAAGTAGAACTACCTTTTTATTTTAAGAATTAAGTATCAGTCATAAATAATTGAAATATTTAATTTTAGAGAGATTATATGCCAATACTAATTTAATGATGAATCTTTTACATCGTGTGGTTTTTATTTGATTGAATAAATGTTTAAAGCTATCAATAGCTATTAATTGACTATTACAAGAATTTATAAGTATCTAAAACTGATTGAGAATTATAAATGTAATTAAAAAATAAAATATTTATTAGCTGTTTTCTATTATTTTTTTTATTAATATAAACCAATCGTTATCTAAGTTTTTTTTTTCCACTTTTAAAAATCAGTTACTCATAGCAATATTATATAGTGTTGAAATTAGAATTTAATTAAATTATCACCTTAATACCAGCTTAGAATATAGTTAATATATATATATATTTATCTTGTACATTAAATAGTTATAGAACATTTAAAAGTTATAATATTTTTTTTAATGGTCCTCACTCTTCATTAATCATGTTATTAATAATATTGTTTAGGCGTGTGTTCTTCATGTTGGTACAAACAATTTTGGTAATACTCCTGATGAAATATCGGAAGGTATTTTAACCATTATCAATGAAATTAAATCCAAGCTGCCTGAGTGCTATATCATCTTGTTGGTAATTATTTTATGATATATACAATATTTGTATTTTATTTTAAGATACATTCAAACTAGGTAAATTATTTTTTTATCAACTAAATTTTTATGTATGCAATACATGCAATATATTTTAAAACAACAATGATTCAATAAGCACAAATGATAATTTTACCAGAATTAAATTTTTAAATAATGTAATTGTAATATTTTGACAAATATTGATTAATTCTTCTATTTCTGTGTTTTTGGAAACCAGTAACTTGTTTGCTCTGTTTAAAATCTAAAATATATTTGACTAATTGACTTATTTTTAATGAGTGAATAATATTAAGTTGGACATTAATTTTCATTCTTGAATCATTGTTAAGTGTAAAATAGTTTGTACATTAATTTGATGTTTTTAGGATTTATTACCTCGTGGTGCAAGGCCAAATCCATTACGTGTTCGTAATTCTAAAGTTAATGAAATTATACATGAAAAAGTAAAGTCAATTTCTCGGTTAGAAGTAATTACTGTCAATACAGGTCTGTTGCAATCAGATGATACATTGAGTGCTCAAGATATGCTTGATTACCTACATCCAACTGACACATGTTATCGTAAAATATTTGAACCTGTACATGAATTGCTCTTACAAATTCTTGGAGAAGCCAAAGATCTTGACAAAGAATTAGTTGAAACTCAGTAAATCTGATTTTGTATTCGCACAAAGAAAGCAAAAGCATTTTGTATTGTGATTCTTTAATTTCATATTTTCTAATTATTTATAATTTTCATAATTTCATGGGGCTTTAATATTTTCAAATTTTGTTCCTAATTTAATTGTATAGACTGTTTTTTGTTTTTGATTTTAGGGGGGAGGGATTAAGTAATATTATGCATTAGATTTATCATAAGCTATAATCATTAGAGGTATATTTCAATATTGCTTTGAAGCTAATAATATTTATTTTAAATTAATTGGGGAATTAGTATATTAGTTTTTTTTTTTTTTAAATCTAATTTTGCAAATTCTTTGTATTCATATATATTTATACATAAATAAATAAAAATTAATTATATGTTTACTTTAATACTTATATTAATAATATTATATTACAGTACAAATTTTGCTTATTGTATTTAATTATTTTTAATGTAAACATTAGTAATTACAGCAATTTTATGTTCATGCAATGCACAAATCATAACTTTTTTTTGTGGATAAATTAATTTTTATCATTTAATAAAATATAATTTAAAAAAATTTAACTCATCTTAAAAAACAATTAAATGTTTATTCCTATATTTTTAATTCATCTTATTAGTAGAGCTTTAGCTAAGATATTTTGTATTATTATGGTAGCATGGATAATTGGTGTATAATTAATCTTGGAGTGTAGGATGATACATTAATTTCTATTAAACGTTCCATTATATTAAAAAAAAAAAGATGTATATATTAACTTCATCATCTACTTATCGATTTTGATAGTTCTTACATTTATAAAAATGGTTTAAACCTGCCATATTTTAACTACATTACTATTTTAATGAATATGTTTTTAAGTATGTGTATTAAAGTCATACAATTAAATTTATTAATACATAATTTTATATATTATTAATTTAAAATACCTATCATATGAAATATAATTTAAATTATATAATGAATTTAAGATGTTAGTAGATAATTAGTTGGTTTAATTTAAAATTCTTTTTATAGAAAAATTGATTACATTTAAAAAACTTTTTTATAAAATTTCCTTCTATAGTTTAACATGGAAAAAACAGTGTCATAGCAAACTTGAATTTTTAAGAAGCTATAGTTTAATATTCTACCAACCTAACCAAAAACTCGTGAAGACAATAACTATCACTGACCAATTGTAATAAAACTAAAATTATTATCCAATAGTCATTACACACCCACACACCCCATAAAAAAATTGATGCATTCACCACAATACTGCAAGGAATAACTGTAAATTATTTTTGCATTTTGCCGAATTAAAAAGAAATATATTTATCACCAATTTAAAATAACTTAAAATTTTTTTTATGAATGATAGCAGACATAATTAGAATTATTTCCCTTTATTTTATTTCATTTATATTTTTGTGTACATAAAAATATTGTCCTTATGTAATTTTTTACATAGTATCAATATAAGTTACTATTTCACTTCTTTTTTGGCATTTGAATGCTTTTGTTTTCTCTATTTGATAACATAAAATAGGTACTTAAATAGGGTTAAATATTAGGGCTGGTCGGAAATATATGTATGCTACAGAAAATTTGTAACAGCAAATTCAATAAGCATGATTGTTTTTAAGTAATTTATGTTTGTTAGATGCCTGTAAGTTTTTTAAAAGTAAGATTATGCTTTACCATATCCTTTACAGTTTGACATTAAATTTTTAACATTTATTTCAATTATGAAAGATTTTTTTTAATAAAACATATAAATACATAGCTAGTATAATATATTATAAGTAAAATATAAATAAATAAAGTTATTGATGTTCAACTTTAATATCAGTAACTAAGGGAGTTTCGTCATTTTTCATAGCTTCAGCTGCTTTTACTGCTGGCGTTCCTGTTTGAATAATTGGTACAGTACGTTCACCTGTTAATTGTTTTTCCTATAAAAATAAATGCATGGATTAAACTTTTATAAACTAACTATAACTTTTTAAACAAGATTTAAAATTTATTGAAAGTTTAAGGTCTAGATTGGTATTAGTATATTTTGTAATTAAAAACAAATTTCATAAGAAAATTTAAATTATTATTGTTTTTTTTAATAATATGTTATTTATAAAATTGATATTTAACTCATTAGGATAGGAAAGCCTCAAGAATATTAAATTTGATCAAATCTTTAAGTTTTTTATTCATAAATCATAAGCAAGACTTTATTTTATTAAATAGGACTATTAGGGATGTAGTTATTATAGTTATATTGTACTTGGTAGAATGCAAATAATTTGAATAGTTCAGAAAAACAAAGGATTATTATGAATAAATGTTTTTCTGATTCTTGATTATAGTTATTAGTTATTACTTATTACATAGCTACTAAAATTGACTTAATATGTAAAAATAAGTATTCTTGCTGCTCTAAATAGTCAACATTTTTATTTACTGTAGTCTACAAAAATTAATTATTGTAGCATACTTATTAAGGTTATGTGTGATATAATTTATTTATACCCACCCCTAAGAGTGCATGCAATTATAAATTATAATATACAAGAACTTGTTATATATTGTTCTATCTGGTTATATGTGCTGTATGCCTGTCTCAGAATAAAATCTTAAGTATGCATATAAGTTTATGTAGTTAATACAAAATTTTTTAAATTATACACATTTTCCAGCTCTCCAAATTAAAAATTTTAATTATGCCTAGAATATATATATGAGTATCAAGAAGGAAAATATTTATTTTTTAGTATAATGCAATGTAAGTAGCATGTAACAAATTGAATCTGGAATTTAATTTATTCTAAAAGGTTTTATAGGGATTTAGTTTGTGATCTTTCAGTCAATTAAACGCTTAGTACCTACTATGTGTTTTAAAGTAAGTAATTTTAAATATATTAAATAATAAATAGTGGATTTTATATACATAAATAAAATAATGTAATTTATAGTACAGTCAAATTTGCTTGTAATGATCTTCAAGAGACTTAAAGAATTTGATTATTATAACCAAATTTCATTATATCTAAATTATAAAAAATAACTACACATAACATATAAAACCAACCAAATACATTTTTGAAATCGTTTTACCCGGAATATCATTATATACAGCATTGTAATAAGCAAATTTGACTGTAATTGGTTATACCAGTACCTAGTGGGTATCATTAATTAGTTAATTAAAAGTTTTACCTTTTTAGGAACACTAATTGTTAGTATTCCATCAGAAGACAAGCTTGAAACAATTTGTTCTAAATCCACATCTTTAGGTAATAAATATCTTCTTTTAAATTGTCTCGATATAAAACCATGTTCGTCTTGTTTTTCTTCATGTTTCCCTTCAACGATAACTGCTCCTTCTGAAGTTTTAACCGTGATCTCACCAGGTCCAAATTGTTGAACATCTAATATAACTTGTACTTGTTTGTCATCAAACTTAAGGTTGGATGTACCACTATTTTGTCTGTTAAGTACACCTTGCCATGGTCTATAGTATGTAGCTGATCTCAGAGAAGGCGAAGTTAGAGCAGACGTTAAAGTGGACAGATCATCTCTATGCAACCCCAGACCAAAGTTTTGGTCCAATAATCGTCTTGGTAATCGCTCACGTTCGAAATCTTCCCACCAATCTCGGAAGAACAATGGCACCAAAGACATATCTGTGAATTGAATGCATTATAAAGCATCATGCAAAAACAACTACAAAATAAAATAAGGATTGTATAGTTATTCATTTACATGAATACCTATACAATGGTTACATGCCTACATTAATTTATTACACTCAATTTTAATATATTTATTAGTATTAACTAGAAACTGTATAAGAAACAAATTTTTACACATCAAATATATTGACTTGAAAAATAACTGAAACCAATAAATATAAATGGATCACTACTAATACTATATTTAAATACATATTATTTATAAAAATAAATTATTATGTAGTTAAATATTCCATATACAATATACGAGTACGACTTACTTGTATAATTTATATAGATAACAAACAAATATACTTCCTACAGTAAAATTTGGTTTCCAATACAATGTAATTAATGAAAAATATAGAGGTAACTTATTTGATTTTTTAAAGTCAACTATTAAGAAAAGTACATTTTTTGTCGTATTTATACTCAAGTGTTCTGCTTTCACATATATATGAATTATCATTATTCACCAATCATTACGAGTTTATTTTTATACACTTGGAATTGGTGTTTGTTAGTTGACCTTTGTTGCTGACTGTAAACTAAATTTGTGTGGGAGGATTCCAAGAATATCCCTTAATTTGTTTATTTATTATTCTTAATTCTCACCAAGTTGTGAGTCATAAAGCTACAAATATTGTAGATACTATCCTTCCAATGTACATAATAGGTATATCGTGCATTTGTATAATTGTATACCTATAAACAAACTTACTATTTTTGCCAAATGTCTTTAAAAGTGGGTCAATCGCATATTATTATAATGATACGTTGAATATTCTAGAATATTTATTATTTTTTTAAAACTATGGATAAGATATAATGTAGAGGTACGTACTATTTCTGTATCATAAAATGATGTAAGATTTCAGTTTTTAACCATTTCCTAACAACTCAAAAGTATTAAAAACTTGTATGTTATAGACGTTATAGTAGAAAAAATACTTCGAAGGCGTCGTTTTATTTATGTAATAGAAAATGTCAAGCTGTCAGTACCTTCATTAACAATTGAAAAAAATAAGCACAATAATAAATAGGAAATTGGGAATATATATCTATGCAACATTTGTAGGTAATCGACAAAATCGATTTAGTTTTACCTATCTATCTACCAACTAAAAGTATTTTTAAAAGATGAGTTAAACATTCTTACTTATTTAATTTACCAGAAATCTAATAAAACAATATTTTATTCTGATTTATCCCTGATAGGTCCCTCAAACAGCTTAAGCATAAATAGTGTAAATATCTTTTAAAGTCTTAACCATAACAAAACAAATTTGTTTTGTCATTTTTATAACTTTTTAAGATCAGTTTTCTCAAACCATGAAGTATCATAAATGGATGGATTCTCTGCTCACGCTTGCCAAAGATATCTGTAATCAAAATTCAGGCAGTGTCGTAATTAGACACTGGGGGCCATAGGCGCACATTGGGTGTGAATTTAGGGGGTGCTGGAATAATTTACAGTAAACAGATCAGTGGGGGGCTTTGCCCTCACACTCCTAATACCATAATAAACTGCATTCTAATAATTTTTAATTATTATAATTAATATTAAAATGTATTTATATTATATATATAATAATAATAATATATAATCACTAATTAATTTTAAACAAGATTTAATTTTCTGTTAGATAATGCAAATTTTTATAATATGATTGCTGTTAATGTTCAACGTTTAGATGAAAACTGGAACAGTGGAACGTGCATTCATACAATACAATCAATACATTATTAATCATGAATTCATAAGCTACATATTGTCTATTTGTAATAGAAAAAATTCCAAACCAATGAATCACAATAATTTTCAAATGATTGATAAAATACTGAAATAAATTTTACAGGAAACTGGGGGTGCTAAGCACCCCCCTATGTGCGCCTATGCAGTGGGGGCCCTTAAATCAAATTTAAAATGGGGTCCTTACCCATAAATGTAAATGGTCTTAAACAATTCAAGGTAGCAGGTACACTTTAATACTTTATCCTCCCTTATCATAAGGTAATCAAAACTATTGTTATTATTAATAATTTCTTACAATTAAAAATAATTCTAACAGCTAACTTTTTTCTTTTATAAATACATAGGTTAAAATCAGTAATTATATTTTTAGAGCTCTTCGTAAAAAATTATCTACAAAATGCCCTACGGCCTACATAATATTGAGAAAAAACAATAGTAGAGAAAATTAACTCTTGATAGTTAAAATATAGTACATATTATAATTTAATATAATTCAGATGTTTTCAAAATAAATATACGTTTAAGTATAGTATATATATCATTTTTTTTTACCTATTATAATAAAATGTAGAAAAAAAACCAATTTTTATTGTTTGTCTGCCGAGCAGCCACTTGCAAAGTTTCACTTAGTTAACTTACCCGCTAGTTCTGCCACTTAATTCAGGCTAGATGCATAAATATTTCTATTAAGATTTAAGGGCACATATTAACTCCTATAAAATTTTGTAAATTTCCTCAAAAACTTTTTGTTACCGTATAGTACTTATCTATGTTAATGCCACAAGATGAGCAAGTTAGGGGTATCAATATAAGTTAAGAGTTATTTTGGAAAATAATATTATCAAAACTCAGTTTAAAAAACTTAATATAGATACTTTATATACACTAATTAACATGATTAACTAGTTAATTAACTGAGTTAATCGTGGATTTAATAATATTATACTTAATTAATATTTTAGTACATTATTATATATTAAATAATCAATGGTAATAGTAAATAGTAATTCTCTGATTTTAGTGAGGAAAGTATAAACAGTATGATCATAGTTTTGATTATTGGAACTAAATAGATCAAACCCTGGATTATGACTATTTACTTTAATTATAAATATTTTATTTTTTTGTTTTTTACATTTACTCATAAAAAATGGTTGGACAGTGCTGTCAAAAATTAGAGCACGTTGTTGCACAGATAAAGTTGTGAAAATTTGGTAGCTCTACAACAAATATGGCGCGAGAAATGTTGTCCCGCGTAAAACACTTTTTATAATCAAATTACGGGTGATGTGACGTCCTCTTAACGATCTTTGAAAACGTTTACTTGATTACTTCTTCGTATAGCAAACAAAAGGGCCAAATTTTTCTGTTATCAAACATTTCTAACGTTTACCGCCACGGACTAAGAGAAATCTACGAGTTCGTGTTTACCACTAACGAATTTCATCTGTGATATCAACTAATAAGCAATAATATAACCTCAAATATTATGCACATTAAAAAGTAAACCAGTAAAAAATTAAAATGTAACTACAATTCAATACTTTGATATCAAGAACAGAATAAACTTACGAGTACTGACTTTTGGAAGTTTCAATTTACAGAATTTGGTTTTTTGCCACTCTCGATTACTTGGACATTGTTAAGATATTTAAAAAATGTTTAATCAATTGTAATAATAACTCATAATTCATTATTCGAAAATTCTATAAATCATAAATATAAATACATTTATATACAATATTGTTTTAATTTTATACCAACAAATAAATTTTACTCATTCATTATTTCCTTATTCGATCAATTGGTCTATAAAATGAATTCAAAACATCAGAAGTAAGTTATGCAAATAACCATTATTCTTATTTAAATCTATAGATTACTATATGTATTATTTTTCTACTTTATTTTTAGTTGCTGGAAACAATTTTACTACAAGTTAAATAAATTGAATGTAAACTATGCAGATGAATCAATTGAATCTATGATATATGACAATTTGGAAGAAATGAAAAAAGGCATACTCAAATTTAAATTTCATACTTCATCAAGATTGGTTTTTTATAAAAATGATAAATCGGATACAGATTTCTTATATCCTCTACTATCCCAATTACTTGTAATAATTATACGTTATTTTATGTATCTCTAGTCTCAATCTAGTATAATATGCCTATTATTAATTTATCTATTTTATTTAGTTTATTAATGAACAAGACGTAAAATTTGTTTACAACAAATACAACGAGTTTGTGTGTCAAAATGAATTGAAGACAACTATGTCTGAACATGAATTACATAATGTTTGTGTAGATGTATGGAAGTTTTACAATGAAGAATTATTATTTTTATTTCGTTCTTTAAAATTTATTCTCACTGCAGCAGAAAATCAAAACTGTCATTATTCTGTAAGTACAATTATTATTAATGGCCAATAGATATATAAACTATTTTTATTTTTATTTGTTTGTAATTTCTTAATTGTTTTATTTCAAATTTTAGGCTATTTGTAAAAAAATTGTTCGTAAACAAAACTGGAAGGAATGGTATATTTCTTTAAGAGAACAACTATCACATGTTCGTTCATTAACATTTTTTGATACAATTGTTTATAAACCTCTTCAAAAAATAATACACAAACATTTGTTAACATTTATTTTAAATCAACAAATTGAAATTCTACAATTGATGGTTTTAACTTCACTTAGAGTGGATCAAATTACAAAAGATGATTTTAATATTTGGATAACTAATCTCATTGTAAGTAATTTAAAAATAAATGTTTATATTTAATTAAATGTTTAGTATTCTATTTATAAATTGTTGTTTACTTTCAATCAAATGTAACTAATGTTATATCTGTATTGAGTATGTGAAGTCAAACAATTGATACCTAATCCCTTTAGCAATGATTGATTTTGTTTAAAATAGGTACGTCAAGGTTCTTCTTATATTACATTTTTTTATAATTATCTAAAAATGTTCAATACAACTACTTGAGAAAATAATGTGTGCCTAATTTAAAATTTCATTAATAATTTATGTTTACTTTTCAATTTTTAGTGATATAAAACACTAATTTTTACTTTTCCAGTAATGTTAATTACAAAAGATATATTATAAAGCCAATTTTTTCCTTATTCCATTAAAAAAAAAAATTCTATTTTTTCTAAAAAATCTTAAGCAGGTAATATTTATAACTAATATATTATTTTATTTTACTTGATATTTATAGGATAATAACTTTGGAAAAAATCAAACATTAGAATATGATTATAATAACTTACAAACTGCATATTCTTCTTTTATGAGTCAGATCTCAAGTTTAGAGACATTGCATTCATTACAAATTATTGCATTGTTTTGGGAGTGAGTAATTAATGAATATTAAACTTTTGTTCATAAATTGTTTTTTTTAAATTTAATTTTGTATTTGTTTAAATTTTTTTTATTGCAGGAGTGAAAATTATATTTGGTCCACTAATATAGAATTCAACGAAGCTGATAAAATTATTCGAATGATCCAACCTAGTAGTGAATATGGTATTGTTCTTATGGGTTGGACAATTCTTCACCTTAAAGGAAAATTTGGAATAAAAGTTCCTCAAAAATTAGAAGTTTATACAGAAGCCATAAGCACATTAAAAATG